CTCCTCTTGGGATCTTGGGCACGCACGCACACGCACCCGGCATGAGTTTTAAGCCACCGGGTCCGGGACACGAACCGCGGTCGACTACATGGGAGTCCAGCGACATAGCCATTACGCTAACTGCTGGTTCCCTGTAACTTCTTTTTAACCAGAGGTCAAAAAGAGCGTCAACAGGTGCTGTGGTAGTTAGGGTGCTGGATCCCACATGGCCACCTACAAGGTTTGAGTCCCAGATCTGGTGACTTAAAGAACACACTGGGGGACCGGCAGATAGGGTCATGATTACGTTGCTGGACTCCCACGTAGTCAGCTGTGGTTTTAGCCCTGGGCACGGTGACTTAAAACTCAAGCCAGGTGTGCGTGTGCACGCCCAAAATCCTGAGAGGAGAATGGAGGAGAAGGGATTGCCGCATGGCCATTCCCCCTAGGGGTGATTTCTTGCTTTCTGTCTTTCCATCTCTTCTGTCTCTCCGACAAGCACAAACATGCCCTTTGGCAAAAATCGCTAATAAATAAATACATAAACCTGGGTGCTTATGTGTGAATGCCAAAAATCCTGAGAGAAGAATGGAGGAGGGATCATGGTGTGGCCGCCCCCTTCGGAGGGTTCTCACTTCCCCTCTCTTTCTGTTTCTCTCAGTCTCTCTCTGGTGGGTGTATGCCTCCTATGGCACAAATCTAAAAATGTAGGTGGAAAAGCCTTTATAAGCCACGGCGTCTTCTAAAACTGGGCCCTCCAGGATATCCTGCACTGGCACGACCTGCCTCTTCCTGCAGGACATGGCAGCAGCTGAGTGCGGATTCTGGAACTACTGGCTTCTGTAGGTCCAATGGCTTCCATGATTTCTGTGGGTTCAAATCTCAGCATCGACACTTTCTCTCTCTCTTTCTTTTTCCTTTTCTTTTTTTTGCTATGGGGCGCATGCGCTCGCCAGAAAGACAGAGAGAGACAGAGAGACAGAAAGCTAGAAATCACCCCCAGGGGGGATGGCCACACTGCAATCCTTTCTCCTCCATTCTCCTCTCAGGATCTTGGGCACACATGCACATGTGCCCAGAGTTTAAACCGCCAGGTCCAGGACTCGAACGATGGTCGACTACATGGGAGTTCAGCGACATAGCCATTACGCTAACTGCTGGTCCCTCTCTCTTTTTTTAAAAGAATTATCTTATTTAACTTTATTTATTTATTTATTTATTTTAATTTGACCAGAGATGGACAAAGTGAGACAGAGAGAGGGAAAGTGAGAAAGCAAGCGGCCAGGTCTAGGACTCGAACCGCAGTTGGTCATATGGGAATCCTGTGCCCTTAACCATCATGCCATCTGCCAGCCCCAAGAAAGTGAGAAAGCAAGCTGTCAGGTCCAGGACTCAAACCATCGTCAACCATGTGGGGGTCCGCTGCCTCAACCACCATGCCCCTGCCAGTCCGGCATAGACACTCTCTATGCAACTGTGAGCAGTGAGCAAGCTACCTGACAACTCAGCCTCAGTTTCCCCATCTGTAAGATGGAGCTGTCCATGGAGTGAACCTCAAAGCGTGGCTCTGGGGATCAAATACGCAGACGTAAAAGCCCTCAGAACGGGTCCAAGGCCAGCCTTTGACAGGCATCGGCTAGGCAGCCCTTCCTGGGCCCCTGCCTTCCCTCCAATCATGCTTTCTTCTTATTTTCTTATTCTGACTCTTTCTCTTTATCTTGAATAAATAATAGCCATAGTTAGACATTCTAACCCCTGTTCTTCATTTTTTATCGATACAGTTTTTTATTTTAAAATTATATTCATATTTAACACAGTACGAGAATAACTCGTGTGCATTGTAATAAAGCCACACCCTACAGCTGCCTATAAAGCAGAAAATTCAAGTGTCCCTTCATTCCAGCCTCATTCCCCAGAGGTGAACATTAACAGTGTAGTCTGTCATAATCTTATTCATTTGAAAATTACTACCTAAACTTTAACAGAGTTTTATGGCGCACACATAAGTTATGTATATCTTTTTGTGTGTGTGTGAAAATGGAATATGTCCCACTCCACTGTTGTCTGCTGTTTTCTTCTTTTTTAAAAAGAATTATTTATTATTATTATTGTTAATATTATTTTTCACATGAGTTTTGCCAGAGAGAGAGAGAGAGCAAGTCGCAGATCTGGGACTCAAACCATGGCCAGCCATGTGGGAATTCCAACACCTTAACCACCATGCCACCTGCTGGCCCATCTGCTGTTTTCTTCTTAACATCTCATCACTTGCCTGGCCCTGACCTGCCTGGCCGTGTAACCACACCGAGTCCCCACTCGCATTTCTCCTTTGATGGACGAGGCTGGGGGTGTGGCTCACAGGCGCTCTGGTGTCCAGTCAGAGGCTGGGTCTGGCCCCCAGCACGGCCTCCGGGTCCCGCCCAGACACCTGCCCCTCCCTCTAGCCAGCTTCCAGCGACCATCTGTGACCATCTGAAGTCATCTGCAATAACCCACAGACTCAACCGTAATCTTCTAGATTTGTCCCTAATATGTAAAACCAGCGTAGTGGGAAAATGGCCTCTTTCCAAAAGGATTTCTTTTACGTCAACACAAGTTTTTTTGGTTTTGTTTGTTTGTTTATTTTTGCATGTGTAGTTGCCCAACAGAGAGAGAGAGAGACAGAGAGAGAGGGAAAGTGAGATATCACACCCCCAGGGGGATAGCCATGCCACAATCCCTTCTCTTCCATTCTCGTCTTGAGACTTTTGGCATGTGCACACATGTGCCTGGTGTGTTTTTCAAGCCGTCAGGCCTGGATCTCGAATCAGAGTTGGCCATGTGGGATACATGCCACCTGCTGGCCCTGTCAGCGCAACTTTAAACGAGTAAAATCTTAAAAAGCATTGCCTGGGGGCCAGCAGGTGGCGTGGTGGTAAAGGTGCTGGACTTTACCACATGACTGACCATAGTTCAAGTCCCAGACCTGATGACTTGCTTTCTCTCTTTCTCTCTGTCTCTCTCTGGTGAGCATACATGCCCTATAGCAAATTTAAGCATAATAATAACAATAATAAATATAATTAAATAATAAAAAATAAATAAAAACACTGCATGACAAGAAGTTAAAGCAATATGAAAATCTGGAGTGGGTTTCGAATTCTGCCATACTGAGGTGGGAAGACTCCCATTGTGAGCTCAGAGTGGCCCAGCACAGGCTGGGGAGGGCTGAAGACCTCAGTCACAGAGATGTGACTGATTGTGGCGAGCTGTTCTGAAATCCCGCCTCTTTCTGCAGATGACAGGTTTGCAGGAATTGTGATTATTGCAAACCACAGCTAGGGAAGGGGTGAGATATGCCTCTCTCTGGTGTGTGTAGGCCAAACTGGAGCTCTGAGACCTGTGTCCTACACAGCTGCCGCTGCCCGCTGAACAACGAAGATCAGAGAATGAGAGGGTTTTTTGTTTGTTTGTTTGTTTGCTTGTTTGTTTTGGGAGAGGTTTTTACTATAGGGCGCGTGCACTCACCAGAAAGACAGAGAGACAGAGAGTGAGAAATCACTCCCAGGGGAATGGCCATGCTGCAATCCCTTCTCCTCCATTCTCCTCTCAGGATCTTGGGTACGCACGCACACGCACCCGGCGTGAGTTTAAGCCACTGGGTCCAGGGCTCACACTGCGGTCAGCTACATGGGAGTCCAGTGACATAGCCATTATGCCAACTGTTGGTCCCTTTAGAATGAAAGCTTTAAAGGTAATTTTCTATTGCCATTGTCTGACGTTGAGAGCAGGTTTAAGGGAGCAAACAGAAAGGAAGCCTCATTGTTCAGGAGATCTGAAATTCTATTATGGTTGGCCCTGTGTAAATGTCTTTTTCTCTCTTTTTCTAAGAATTATTTATTTAATTTTATTTATCATTATGATTATTTTTAAATTTATTGCAGGACACGTGCACTCACGAGAGAGAGACAGTGGGTGGGGGGAAAATGAGCCAGGTTTGAGATTCGAACTACAGTTGGCCATATGGCCAGTGTCTTAACCACCATACCCCGTGGCCAGCTGTGGTTCAAGTCTTGACCTGGTGGCTTGAAAAGCACACCAGCTGCGCTACATGTATGTCGAAGATCAGGGGAGGAGAATGGGAAGGGATTGGGCCGTGGCCATCCCTCTGGGGTGTGATTTCTCACTTTCCCTCTCACCTTCTCTCTGTCTGGTGAGAACACATACTCTAAGGCAAAAACCTCTTTAAAAAAATAAAAAGCATCAGTAAGGATGACTACTCAGAAAACACTGCATTGCAAGGTTTTGAACTTTCTCCAGGGAATCTGCCCAGCCGCGTGCCTGGTCCTGGAGCTGCAGCCCCTGTCTCCGCCAGGCTTCCCAGCACACCCTGCCCGAAGGCCCTCACCAGCTGCGTTGTGTTGGTGGTACCAGACCAGCTCGGGGATGGACTGGAACAGGTGCCGCTCGGCCACGTACCACTGCCCCGAGTCACTCCTTTTGATCTGGTAGTGCTTTATGGTGGCCTCCATGCCCCTGCAATCGATGAGATGTGAATCAGTCCAGCGAAGATCATCTGGGAGTTAGCCAGGTCATAAAGCGACAGGCCGCACTCGTACTGCGCCTCGCTCTGCCGCTGCACACGCACACCAAAGAGCGGACCCGTGACCCTCAGCAGGGTCTCCCGTGCCAGGAAAGCTCCTCGGCTCCCCTAGTGGGGCCTCGGGCTCAGACTTCAGCCAAAGCTGTCTAGGTGGTAAGTCCAGGATCCACAAAAACAGAGCTCACAATAGAAATGATAAATACGTATTGAATATCCAGTATTGGTTAAATAAATGAGCAAACGCGCTGTGAGGGAACAGAGGCGCGAGACAGGGTGGGAAGGAGGCCATTAGAGGGTGTGTTAACGAGCAGGCTGCTGTCATGGGAGACGGGGCTCAGTCTCTGACACCTGTGAAGGTCTGGGGACATCCTCGGAGCTGTCCCACCGGTGGGCAAAGAGGCTGAAGTGTCCATCCTCTCACTCCCACTCCCCACTGCTGGGGGCTGCTCCTGGGGTGTGATCTCCATCACAGTCCCAGCCTAGCCTCGGGGCCACAAGTCCCCACAGCCAGAGAACGTCCTGGGCAGAAAGACCTGCCTGCAGGTCACTCCAGAATAAGCCAGGGACAGGAGGACAGGACCAGCAGCGTCCACTACAACTAGTCTAACCCCTCACTGGTGGTTAGAAGAGAGACAAGAAAGGTTAAGTAACTTATCCACTAGCACACGGTGCTATCGCCAAGAGATAGCACCAAGAGACTGTCCCAGAGGGGATTTCTAAAATTACCCAAATCACAGTGGCTTACCTTCCAGCTCCGATAGACACAGAAATTGTGTAGGATTACCCAAATCACAGTGGCTTACCTTCCAGCTCCGATAGACACAGAAATTGTGTAGGATTACCCAAATCACAGTGGCTTACCTTCTAGCTCTGATAAACACAGAAATTGTGTAGGATCCCAAATGTCTCGAGTCTCTGACAATAAATGCACCTTCTTTGGCCTGCAAAACAATCATGATTGTACAAGTTTATTCCTTCTTAAAGAAAGACAAGCCTACCTGTCACTAATGGAAACCAAAGCTACGCTGGCTTACTCTAAGTAAGCGATTTACGAAAGGGCGAGATTTGGAAGTCACACCTCTAAAATAAAATGTAATTTAGGCCCACATTTATAATGTATGAGTATTTAAAAACATTGCTCCTAATTTTTCTGAGAAAAATTCTGTATTCGACCGCCCCATACTCTACCACTTAGTTTTTTTTTTTTTCTCTATGGATTAGGATAATAGATAAAAATAACTGTTGAATTGGAGAACTGTGAAATGGGATTGTACCTCAAAACAAGCAACGATGTGATGTCAGTGGGGGACACAGTTGAGGGTGGCAGTGAGCGGGAACTGGGCAGAGCTCCGATGAGGAGAAAGAAAGAACACGTTTGGGGGACCAGCAGATGGCGTAATGGTTATGTCACTGGACTTCCACGTAGTTGACCACGGTTCGAGTCCTGGGTCCAGGGGCTTAAAAACTCATACCAGGTGCGTGTGTGTGTGTGCCCAAGATCCTGAGAGGAGGATGAAGGAGAGGGGATTGCAGCGTGGCCATTTCCCTGGGAGGTATTTCTCACTTTCTGTCTCTCTCTATCTCTTGGACAAGTGCACGCCCTATAGTAAAACTCTCTCTCTCAAAAAAAAAAAAAAAAAAAAAGGTGAACATGTTTGGGGTGCCTGAAGAGCACAGCGGGGAGCCCTCAGCTGCTGTAGGGGTGTGGGATGAAGAGAATTGGCGGGAAGAGTATATAACTGTAGCTATCCTGATGTTAGGCTAAGAGGTGGGTTTCTGTTGACGTTCTTTGGGAGACCTCCAGTAAGGTTGTGAATTAGCTCTCAAATCATCTCGACTTTTAGACTATCTCGATTTATTTTTCTCGTGTTATAAAAAGTTGCAGCTTTGCCAAGCGTGCTTATGCTTTTGAGGAGGGAAAAACATCTCAAAATCTTGTTCAGACCTGCAGGGGTTCACACCAGCAGGCCCAGCGGTAGTGGCACAGGCTGCAGGGTGCGGCTGCGTCATGCCAGAGCCGTGTGGGATGGCCCAGGTTCGGATCCAGGTCGACCCTAACTCCTCAGGCCCACCCATGAGGCACCTGTGACCCCGACTGGCTAGAAGGCTGGGGAGGGTGACACGGCATGGCAAGTCCCCATCAGGGGTCCTTGTATCTCTCCCCTCTCTCTTTCTCTCTTCACTTATTTAATTTTTAGGTTTTTATTTGGAGAGATTTTTGCTATAGGGTGTGTGAGCTCACCAGAGAGACAAATTGAAAAATCACCCCCTGGGAGGATGGCCATGTCACAATCTCTTCTCCTCCATTCTCTCCTCAGGATTTTGGGCATGTATGCACATGTGACCAGCGTGAGTTTCAAGCCTCTGGATCCGGGACTCGAACTATGGTCAGCCATATGGGAGTCCAGTGGTATAACCACTACGCCATCTGCTGGTCCCGATTTTTTTAGGTTTTTGACATAGGGCACATGCGCTTGCCAGAAAGAGACAGAGAGAGAGGGAAAGTGAGAGATCACCACCCACCCCAGCCACTCTGGCAGGGGTTGGCTACACTGCAATCCTTTCTCCTCTGTGCTACTTTCGGGATTTGGGGCATACACAGTCTGGGACTTAAACTAGGGTTAACCATGCAGGAATCCAGTGCCGTAAACACCACACCACCTGCTGGCAGCTTAAGAAATAAATTAAACTGGGGCCAGCAGGTGGCGTGGTGGTTAAGGATGCTGGACTCCCACATGGCCAACTGTGGTTTGAGTCCTGGATCTGGCAGCTTGCTTTCTCACTTTCCCTCTCTCTCTCTCTCTCTCTCTCTGTTGGCCTGTCCCAATTTGGTCAACTTAAAATAAATAAATAATCAAATAATGTTAAATAAAATCATCCTTTTTTTAAAAAAAGACATCAAATAAACTTAAAAACTAATTTAAAAAAAGAGTTTGAAGAACTTGCCAGGCACGTTGCATGCCTGCCCAAAAATCCCAACAAGAGGGAAAAACGAAGGAGAAAGTGGATGTACCACACCTCGCTGGGGGGGGGGGCTTTCTCCCCCATCTCTGAATCTCTTTGTCTCTCTCTGCCGATTACAAAAAGTCTCTTACAGTCATTTAATATAAATGTAGCTTGTATCAAATTCCTAGGGAGGGGCCGCAAGGTGTGAAGGACAGCGTGGCTGCACACCGCGTGGCCTGGGGCACACCTGACGAGTGTGGTCTGGCTGTCGGTGCACACCTCCTCTTACACAGGCCTGAGCTAGAAGGGGTGTGAACGCTTCCTGACCAAAGCAATGGGACCGGAAATTATAACAAACCCAAATAAGAAGCTTCTGCTACCCATGGAGTTTTAAAATTCTATTTCATGTAATTCAATAAAATTCAAATAAAAAATGAAAAGTATCTAGAAGATAATAAAGAAACTTCACCTATCAGGACCCCTGCTCTACAATTCGAGTGATACTCAGAAAGAAATAGTAGTCTTGGGGACCAGCAGGTGGCGTGGTGGTTAAGGCACTGGACACTCCTACATGGCCGACCACAGTTCAAATCCTGGACCTGGTGGCTTGCTTTCCCACTTTCTCTCCCTCTCTCTCTGTCTCTCTCTGGTCAAATTAAAATAAATGAATGAATAAATAAATAATTTAAAACATATTTTAAAAAGAAAGAAATAGTAGTCTCATTACTGATTTTAATAAAAAAGTAAACATAAATAGATCCAACTAAAAGAAATAGTAGTTACATTACTAATGCTAATAAAAAAGTAAACATAAATAGATCCAACTCAACAGTGTTAGGATCTGAATTATAAAATAACCTCTAGTGAAGAAGTTAATAAAGACAAAAGCAGAACATAATACATTATAAAGACAAAAATATAATACAGCTAGTATTTAAGTTCAAAATCTGGTTGTTTAGGTGAAAAACAATAGATACACTGCAGATTAGCCTAATAAATAAATAACAGCAGAAATCTATCACAAGTAATAAGCCACAAGGAGAAAATAATCAAGGATTCAGAAAAACATCAAATGCCTTTTTTGATTTTATACAATAAATTTCAAAAATTGAATGGAATGGACAATTAAGGAGCAAAACATAAAATTTATCAAAATTGAGCCCAGAAATCTAGAAATCTTAACAGAAAAGTGGAAGAGATTTTTAAGAGCTATAATATTAAAAAGCACTATGATTATGTATTGTCTTATACTAAAGCTTAAGTTCAAAAAGTGGTTTAGCACTTTGGGCCACCAGGTGGCACAGTGGGCCCTCCCACAGGAAGACTAGTTCCAGACTTGACCCAGCAGCTAGAAGCTCACACCCGGCGCATTTGCATGGCCCAAGTCTCAGGAGGAGAAGGGATTGTGGTGTGGCCATCCCCCCCTCTTCCAGGAGTGATTTTTCACTTTCCTTCTCATTTCATCTATAGAGCTTAATTTAGCATATACAAAGTCAAAATAAGCTTAACATCAATTCCACTTATATCAGTGCAAAAATTTGAAAAAGAACAAACCACATCCAGTAATACAATACGAAAGAACAACAACCGATGGCCAAGAGGGAGTGCATCCAGAAACAGGATAATTTGATATTAGGGGCTTAAGTAACGCATCTTATCATATTAATAGAGCTGGAGAGAAAAATCACATAGACATCTCCAGCAATACTGAAAAGGGACCTGACAAATTTCCACTTCTACTATCAGCTTTATAAAATTCTTCGTAAAATGGAAACGCGTGTGTAGTTCCGGGTCCAGCAGCAGACCAACCAGAATCAGGAACAAATAACACCCACACTGAGCACTGGTAATCAGCACTGTTCTGCAGACACCGGTCTGTGCCCTTAAATGAGAGGGGAAATCAGAAGCACTCTTTTTTTTTTTTAAGTGGTTTTTGGCTTAGGGTACATGCTCTCACCAGAGAAAGAGGAGACAGAGACAGTAAGAGGGAAAGTGAGACATCATCTCCCGGGAGGATGGCCACACCGCAGTCCTGTCTCCTCCATTCTCCTCCCAGGATCTTGGGCACACATGCGCATGCACCCCATGTGAGTTTCAAACCACCAGCTCAGGACTCAAACGGTGGCTGACCATGTGGGAATCCAGCAACGTAACCACCACACCATCTGCTGGCCCCAGAAGTAGTCTATTAATATTGTAGACGAAGAGTTGAAGTCATAGCTTTCTGCTGCTGTTAATATTATGTGTCTGAAACCTAGGAGAATCAACTGAAAAATTACTATAAAAACATAAGGATTCACCAAAGTTCTCACATACAAAATTAAAGCACAGAAGTCAAGAACTTTTATAAGTAAAACCAAAAACATATACTCGTTAATGATAGCCACAGAAAAAATTGAAATCTTAAAACTAACTTAAAAATAAATTTGCCAGGGGGACCAGCAGTTAGCGTAATGGCTATGTCACTGAACTCCCATGTAGCTGACTGTGGTTCGAGTCCCGGACCTGGTCACTTGAACTCACGCCGGGCGCGTATGCCTGCGTGCCCAAGATCCAGAGAGGAGAATGGAGAAAAGCTAGGGACAATTAGAAAGTTTATCCGCACAGCACACCATGTCGACCCGCCACGGAATGAAACCCTGAGCAGTTCCCGGAACGTAGTTGATCTCCCCGAACTGGGAGACACACACCTAACGGGACACGCAGCGTACCCCGGCCTCTTCTAAGTCTTGGTAACACACAGAAAGTCGCCCTGGCCGGTTTCTGTCTGTGATAGAAATGCAAACACGACAGGACATGAACAGCCTTCCCATCGTGATGGCCTCCGGGGAGTCGGAGGGCACACGAGGGCACAGGCCTTAACTCTCTCTGTAACGTCTTCTTTCTTTAGAAAATCCTATGCTATTTTAATTTTTAAAACATGTGTGATGTCTGAGCTGCCGGCCTGTGGGGTTTCCTTACATAATTCTGTCCTAGTCTCTACCTGCCGCCTCTCAGACCCGGGCGCTCTTACACCGACTGCCCCGCCGGCGTCTGCAGCCATGTCCCTGTGACTACCCTGCTTACCGCGAACCCCCTCTGGGACCACCCTTTCCTAATTTTTTTTTTTTTTCAGGTATTTGCCATAGAGCTCATGTGCTCACCAGAGAGACAGATAGAAGGGAAGTGAGAAGTCACCCACCGGGGGATGGCCACACCCCAAGTCTTTCTCTTCTAGTCTCCTCTCTGGATTTTGGGTTCGTACACACACGCTCCCGGCACGATTTTCAAGCCACCATTCCGGGTCTTGAATCATAGTCAGCCATGTGGGAACCTGGTACCTTGACCTCCATACCTGCTGGCCCAGGGACTGTCCTTTTCCAGTCCTGCCTGCATGGCATTTATTGTGCTATGCTGTACCCTCTAGTGTCACTTTATAGAAGGCACCTGTTACCACCTGAAGGTGACATGAGGCCTGTCTGTCACCGAGACTGGTCTGTGTCTGTCATGCTCTGCTGTCCTCTGCTATCAAGTGGGTCTTCCCAGAGTCCAGAGAAGTTACTTGGACAGCATTTCCACCTCCGGGCTGACCCTTCCTCACTTGCATTTCTCGCTCTCCCCAGCACCTGACAGCAGTGCAGACTGGCTCAGACCTGAGACCCAGCTTCTAGTGTGATGACACACCCACAGTCACTGTTACCGACAGGTGGGACCTCAAACTGCATGCAGCTTGGTTTTGGTTTGACCTACATGAGCAGTTTTGATCTGAGTGTGATATTTTAGCTGCCCTAGTCTTCCTTTGTTTCCAAAGAACAGAGAGCTGCAGCACATGTGTTTGTATCTGCGTTTTTAACAAGTCTAAGCTAGCTTCAGGACAGTGGGGCGTGTATTTGATGGCCTTGGCTCCCCAGGCCTCCCCGGGCAACTCCAACACGGAATGCCCGGCAGGACGGCCTTTGGAGTGGGGATCCTGCTAGGTGGGAGTTGAAATCACTTCATAGAAACTATGATAAAAGTCCATGGGAAACATGATCTGACACACACTCATATATAAATGATAAATTATCAGAAAATGTATACAGGGTATGAAGTTCTAATACTACCAGACTTCAAAAAGTTCATGGGAAATGGGAATTAAATTATGAGTTTATTTTAGCGCAAACATCCATGAATAGTTTGAAATCCATGCACACTTTTTCTCATGGCGCACGTTTTCCCTGAACTTTTTGAGCACCCCCTCATACTGGGAAGCAGAAAGAGCAGGAAGCAATGCCTCTTTAGTTGGCTAAAGTCTTTAAAATGTACCTCTCAGAAACACGTAATGCACGCGGATTTATTCATGAGGACGTTGAATTACCTCTTGTCTCAGCAGACGTTCTGCCTGGTTTCTGGTAATGTTCCTATGGTACCACCTGTAAGAGCGATAAAAATTATTTTAAAGTGTATATTCATGGGAACCAGCAGTTAGCGTAATAGCTATGTCGCTGGACTCCCACGTAGTCGACCGCGGTTCGCGTCCCGGACCCGGTGGCTTAAAACTCACGCCGGGCGCGTGTGCGTGTGTGCCCAAGATCCTGAGAGGAGAATGGAGGAGAAGGGATTGCGGTGTGACCATCCCCCCTGGGGGGTGATTTCTCGCTTTCTGTCTCTATGTCTCTGTCTGTCTGTCTGGTGAG